AATTATTTCTCAGAAGCTCCTTTGCCAAATTGAGAATCAAGTTCAAGTATCTGAATTTCATTGCAAAATAACAAAATGTTTCATTTAGTAAATATTCGATAATTATTAACAATTGTTTTTAACTTACCATATTTTTGTACCCGTCATCGTCATGATCTTTATGATATTCTTCATCAGTTACCCCTTTCATTGTAGCATTACTTTCGCCCATATACACCTGACTGCCATGTTTTTTACATTTTGTTTCTTGAGACTCTCTTAATTCCGTCTCTGCAATCTCTCTCATCATTTCTTGTGTGCTAAGAGTATTAGGATTATCTTTTTCGAAAGCTCGCTGTTAATTAATATAATTAATGTAATTAATATTTGTAAAATTTTCAAAGAATGATTTTAAACTTATTATAAATAGCATTACAAATAATATTTACCAAAAATGCATTTATACGCCTAATAACCGACTTGTCGTTACATTTTATCCCCAAACTTTTCAGATTTAAAAGTATGTCACAAATCGATAAAATATATGCGCATTGTGTCGTAGACAATGACTCTCCCTTGTTTTGTTTAAAGACGATGTAACCTATTTTTGAAAGAAGTTCATGATTCGTGAGAATTTCTTCATAAGCTATACGAGTCTTTTCACTTGTCTTCCATTCAGCTAACTTTAGAGAAGGCGTTGAGTTGTCGACACGTTCTAATTTACTTTCACCAAATACAATAAATATTACATTTCGAATGCTTGCCGTGATGTCATTTCTTCTACTTCTACATTTGGCCTTAATCTAATAATAAAAATATATATACTATATATTTAGAACTATTTTGTTTATTAAAAGCTTTTAAGATTTTAATTACCTCCGGCAATATTTTTTCATCAAATTTCGATAACCAATTATTTTTACCAATATCATCTATATAATATTCTGCATTTTTTGATAGATATGTTTTTATCGCTATTCGACATTCAGTATCCGATGGAAATAATATAGTCAGTATAAGTTGCTTTGCAACTTCTTTGTAAGCATGCTAGAAAAATTCACTTTAATTATTTAAAAATCCAAATAGACTTGTAAATATATTAGAACTTACTTTTCAAAAATTATCTGATAGTTCATCGTCAGCAACAAGCTTTCTTAATGTGATTGAGTTTTCTTCTTGTCTTTGAGCGATAAATCTACATAGTTTATATAAAGCATTAATTTTATTATCCAACAATGACATCGTGTAATTAAATTCTTTAACGGTTAGGTAATGATTATCAGAATCTTTTATGACTAGGTAAGGATTATTATCTTCTTGTGATTTTATTGGTTTTTGGGACGATTGTGATGAAGAAAATTCTGTGTCGATCAGTGAAGAACCATGATTATCGTCATCTTGCACACGATGATGCTCAGTTTCATCATCATTAATGAACATTTGATCAGTATCGGGAGTAGAATCGACTGATTTTCTGTGAGGCACTGAAGAAGGCATTCGAGAAGATACTCGAGAGGCTGTTTGAGTTTTTGAGGTAGAAGTATCGATTGGAGGAACTGACTCTTTTTTTTTAGAAATAAAGAATTAAAGGTTATTTATAATATTGATTTTGTATAGGTATTAGAAAATTAATTACTACGTGACAACATTAGAGAAAAAACATTTTCAGTGGATCGAGAAGCCTTTTTCTGTAATTTTGTAGTACTAAAAGAGGTTTCACTTTGAGAATCATTATCACGAGATTGCTTAGTTGATTTGCCTTTTCTTTTTTTTGACGATAACATTTGAAGATATAAGAAATTTGATGTCAAATAAAGAAAGAAAATAAAAAAGCTCATGATTTAAATATTTGAAAAATATGTGGAAGTTTCCAGATTGATTATTACTGAAAGACGATTAATAATATTGTTAACGGTGGCTTATATCTATCAAAATTAAATTTAATTAATGTACGGTAAATGTTAAAAATGCAAAAGATAATGTAATTGTTAAAAATGTAATTATTAGACTAAATTAAAATTGATGATAAATGAAATAAATTATCATTACAAATGCCAAAGTTAAATGATATACCGAAATTTGATTAAAATCAAAATCAACCGATCAATGAAAACTTGATTAAAATCAAAATCAACCGATCAACGAAGACTTGATTAAAATCAAAATCAACCGATCAACAAAGAAAATAGTAAATCATGACCCATTGATTTCTATTTAAATTATAATTACGAGTTAATAAAATTAATTTTTTTACAGAAATATAAATATTTACAAAACTTACGTTCCCTACCGAATATATCATATTGATTTTGAGTTCTAATTATCAATTGGAGTTCACGTAAAATACATCTTTCACTTCATTTTCTAGTAATAATGTGAATAGATATATAATGATTACTAAATATCGTTGTAAAATCTGTAATAGAAATTTTTCTAGTAAACATGGATTATCACAACATCATAATGCCAAACATCGTGGAAGAATAGCAACTTCTTGGACAAACGAAATGGCTAGCCCAAGTACTCATCAATAATCGCCAATAATATTAAGACTAGAACATGATGCTAACTTATGAAATGCGCCGATCACAATGGAAGTGTTAGAACAAGAGCCAACTTCTATAGTAGAAAATCCTGCATCAATTACTGTAATACAAGTTGATAATGATGAAATAGAAGATGTAGTTTTCGAAAAAACTACAAGTGAATTAACTAATGAACCAAGATATAATTTGCGAAGTCGAAGAAATGAAACGAATGACGAAGAAAATGACGAAGGGAATGACAAAGAGAATGACAAAGGGAATAACGAAGAGAATAATGAAGGGAATGACAAAGAGAATAATAAAGAGAACGACGAGTTGCAATCATCGTTAAATATCAAAGATATTAATTTCGATCTTAAAGATATTGAGGGAGCATCAATAGATGATGCTTTAGATACTATCAAAGGTAAAAACAAACTAGAACATATTGTAAAATATCCAAATGATGTGTACCACGACTTCATGGAATTAGTGATAAATGGTAACGTATCTAACAAGATAGGGGATAAAATTATAAAGTTCTTCAATAATCATAGTGCTTTGAATGAATCTCCATTACCAAGTTCAATAAAAAGTGGCAAGGACTTTCTTAATCAAATAATATCACCTTCGTTAAACTTCAAAGAAAAAGTTGTTGTAACGTATAATGAAGTTAATTTTACCCTCTATTATCGACCAATTTTTCGAGCAATTCAAGTCCTTATACAACGATATGAAATAGCTGAGAATTTCGTTACTAAAGGAATACTAAAAAAAGATGTACATAATAAAAGGATATTTGGAGAACTGTATGAAGGTGACTGGTGGTTAGAGACAGAAAAGACTCTTTCACCTCTGAACCATTTACTGTCCATCATTTTATATTCGGATGCGACAACTCTTGATGGACTCAGAAAGGCTTCAGGTCATCTGGTATTTTTGACACTTGGAAATCTTCCAAATCGGATTCAAAACTTACCGGAATCCAAAGTTCTTTTAGGATTTCTACCCAAGGTACAGGATTCTGGGATCAAAACTAGTGAAAATGTTCGAAGATTCCAACATCAAGTATATCACAAATGTTTTGATATTATGCTTCGACCTTTGTTGGAAAAACCTGATGCATTGTACTTTAGAATTAAATCTCGACCAATGACCTTTGCAGCACGAATTTCACTTTTTCTTGCGGATATGCTAGAGGCTGATGATGTAACTGTAACATATAAATCAGTCCAATGTAAAATGCCTTGCCATACCTGCATGGTCTTACAGAGCGATCTAAATAACTTAAACATCACTTTGGATGATACACTTTACAGAACTCACGAAAATATGCAGGAAATTGTAAGGAGTAGTCAAAACAAGGATTATTCTGTTCATTCTGTCGAAAATACTTTCTGGAAATTTCTGTAACTGTCATTAATTATAATTATGTTTAAAAATAATTACAAATAGATATAAATTAGCTAACTAATTGAAAATTTATAGAAATCTAAATATATACGAAGCTTGTGTTCCTAATTGTATACACCATATCGATATTGGACTCTTCAAGTATCAGTTAGAATTCACACAAGAGATTCTAAAAAAAGTCAGAGGAACAGAATTACAAAAGACTTTCAATCAATATCTTCATCAAATTCCCCGCTTTCCTGGCCTTAAGCTGTTAAGTAAATTAGGTTAATTGAAATTAATAACTGCTGCAGATTATCGCCATATAATGAAGGTTGCAATTTTTGCGTTAGATGAAATCTTCGATGAATGGAATGGGATAAACTGTAGCAAGCTTTGCGAACTTTATGCAAAGTTTAGTAAAATGTATATAATAAGTAAGCAAGAATCATATACTGAAAACGATCTAAAGAATTTTGAGGTAATTATTATTGAAGTTAATAAAATTCGAAATATTATTAAATTTTACTAAATATAATAGGAAGCAATTATTCATTGGTCTACCTAATTCAAAAGATTATTCTCTTCATTGTCTACAACAGAATATAGATTTCCTAAACTACATAGCTGGAGGTACCATGCAGGTGAATTTTAATCCCTAAAATCACGAATTATAATAATCCTACGCCTCACCATAATTTTTCTTAGTCTCTGCAATTCATAAATATGAAGCATTGAATGGTTTATCAACAGAAACTTATGAAACTCTTCATAAGTATTATGTTAAAAACCCTTATCATTCATCAAATAGAAAAGATAACATTTGGCAGCAAATATTGAACAATGTTAGTTAAAAATTCTAATAAATTTTAATAAACAAAATAATTATAAATATATACTTACATTTTTAATAATCTTTACAAGTAAAACGTAAAGAATTAAACCCAACTAAGAGAAAAGCTGTCCATTGTAAAACTGAAGGATTTGGAAAAGTTCTTTAGGAATTGTCATTGGATAGTATTGATAAAAAAATAATATCTTTAAAAAATTCTAAAACTTCAACACATTTAAATTTCATTGAGGGGTTATCATAGTTAATTATAACGTTAGACATCTTTTTGGATAACACATCAGTAGAAGATGTAAGTGATAACTTTTACATTAAAATCTTTGATTCAGTCCATATAGAGAATGGTGAAATCTTAAGGATAACAAAAGAATTTCAAGGCAAAGAGTGGTTCAGTAATGTTGCGGTAACTCCTGCAGAAGATCAAGTATAATACAATTCAGATGAAGGAGCTTGGTATGGGAAAGTAAGCAACATTATCTAAGATTAATAAAGTTTTTTTTTTTGCTTTTATCTTTTAACAGATTATTTCTTTAAAAGGTATTATTGATATTTAAATTTTTCTGAGAATCGTTAATAGAGCCGTATGAACTTGCTCTTGTTCGTTGGTATGATATTCATTCAACAGAATCTGACCTTTATGATTATCTACAACTTTATTATACTGAAGAGTATAATTCTATTTCAATTGAATCTATTAGCGAAGTAGTGCATATTATATCACAGTTTGATAAAGAAAATTGTTTTTTATTAAATAAATATATGTTTTAAAATGAAGAAAAAAATTTCGAAAAAAAAAACTAAAAAAAAACTTCGAAAAAAAAAACTTAAAAAAAAAACTTATTAAAAAGGCATATGAACTTGTGAAGTTTATCAAAATAGTTTATCAGAAGTTTATCGAAATTAAAAATAAAATCTCCAAAGATTTTTGCTCAAAGATCTTAACAAATCTGCAATTTTGAAAATTATCGCAGATTTCTATAAAAATATCTTTGGCAAATTGCATTTGCAATACACCGCAGAACTTTATTAGATTTGACATTAAAAAATGCGGAGATCTGTAAATTTTGCAGATCTCTGCAATTCTAAACTATTTTAAATTTGCCGATGAATCAATCTGTTCATAGTCAACCAGCACATTTCAAAAAGTCTATTTCAAGAGAAGAGATTGCGGAGCAGTCAGATGGCGTAGAAGTGGTACCATTATCTCAAGTAATACCTCTAGAGGGTCCCTCTAGAACCGCACCAGCTATTCCTGCCATTGAAAGTTCCTTTATGTCATATGCCATACTTACCTTATTTCTTCTTGCAGTTATATGGATCATTGAGAAAAAAATATAGGATTCATGGAAAAAAAGTAATACCGAGTATTCTCCTTACTGGAACTATTTTTTATCATCTCTGGGCATTTCTGAAGCCGGGCTGTATGATCGGAGGCCAGAAGTTTGAAGATAGTAATTGAAGTTAGCCAGTATTATTGCACGAGAAAAAATATATAAATAATATTATACGAAGTGTCTTACAACTAAGTTTTCTTAGCTGGAATTATCAAACCTCACTAAAAGTACTTAACCATATAATTTGATGATCTCGTCTATATCCGCTTCAGATAAATCATCTTTTTTATCATCCTGTAACTTTGATAATATTCGATAGCGTGTAATTTCTAGGCTAACTACTTTGTATCATGTGTTTCAGAAATCTGCTAGTAGCTTACACTCATCCAAATAATA